CTTATGCTTCAAATTAAATTTTATTATTGTAATTTGTTAATATTTATTTACTTTGCATAGTATTATTGTAATCTTATATAGACTTTGTAAGTTCATCAAATTTGTAATTCGTCTCACAATGATTGCACTCTTTTTCCTTACCAAGTTTTTATCCCAATTGGGTTTTTTTGATAAGGTTTTTAACGAGACAATCATGAATTACAAATTTAAAAATCAATAAAGAAATAAATTTTTTTATATAGTTCGTGTGTTCATTTCAAATTTCAAATTGTAATATATATATATATATATATATAACATAAAAATATAATATAAAAAATATTTATTAATTCAGGCTTTTTTGATCGGGCAATGGGCAGCCTGACCGGGCACAAGCAGCCAAAGGCTGCCCGATGCCCATCCAAGGAGATTTTTGAGCCGGGCAGCCCGAAAATTCGGGCAGTTCGGGCTCAGTAATCGAGTAAAAATTTGGACTTTTCGGTGGTCGCGGGCAGCCCGTCTAACGTTTCAGCACTGGTATATTACATCAACAAAATGATGTGATACACCCAATTCATTGAATAATTTCTCTTTAACTGGATACAACACAAGAAGGTAACAGATTAGTGTGTAAGTTCATTACAAGACATTTATGAGGGAAAATGGGGAAGAATAGTAGATAACCAACGCAAAAGTAATTAAGAGTGAGAGGGAGAATGACTCCAACATTCACTTATTCATGTTTTATTTTATGTCCTTCTAATAATATCATATCACAATTCAACTTTTATATTATTTTAACTGTTGTGGGATAATCTTATTAGGGGACACGAAAGAAACATTAAGGAGATATGTGAGCTCAATCCGAGAAAGACATCGTTTCATCGGTTTAATATAAAAGGCACACGAAATGAAAAGATTATTCACATCAACATAATTAAAACCACCATAGCATATGGTTAATAGCACAACCTAATAATAATTTCACATCTGACTATTTTAAGGTATAGAGTTTGAATCTCTCTAAATTATGTACATATTTAAAGGAGAAATGGAATATTTGTTTTTTAAATAGAATAAATTATCACTCCTCAATTTAGTGTTGGACTTTCGGGCGGCGGGCATGCCCGATGCCCGAAAATTTTCGGGCACGGCGGGCAGGCCCCTCTCGCCGCCCAAAAATGTTTTTCTTCGGGCACGGGCTCGGGTAGCCCGAAAATGGTAAGCCCCCCGACAGCCCGCCGCCGTGGAGAAGCCTTCCCCCGCCGTTCGTCGGATTTTTTTTGAATTTTCCGGCAAATACCCGAAGCTACCCGAACTGCCTGAATTACCCGAATTTTTTGTGACCGTTGCCCGAATTTTGGTGACCGTTGCCCAAATTTCGACTCGTGCCCGAAAAATGCCTGATTTTTTTTTACCGTTAGCCCGAAAATGCCCGAATTTTGAAAAAGAACGGTGTTTTGCCCGAACCCGAATTTTGCCTGAATTTTTGAACCAAACGGTCGGATTTTTATCCGTTGCCCGAACTGCCCGAATTTTGCCCGACCTGCCCGAAAATTTTGTAGTCGTTGGACCCGAATTTTTGGGGGAAAATTTTTTTTTTCAACCCAAAAATTTTCCTATAAATACCCCCCTCCCCCCAACCATTTTCCTCACCCCAAAACTCTCATTCTCTCTCAATTTCTCTTAATCTCTCTCAAATCTCTCTTAATCTTGTTTAAATCTCTCTCGAATCTCGATCTCTCTTAAGCTCTCTCAAAGCGCTCTCAATCTCTCTTATTTCTCATAATGGCTTCTTCTGGTTATGGTGGTGGTGGTGATATTCCTATTGATGTCCAATTCAACATCGATGAAGGGCAATTTCTTAATGTTTTTCAATCGCAGGAATCGCAAACTATGGAAAGAGATGCTGATCAAACTGCAAATCTGACCCCTGGTGGACGTACTAGAGGTCGGGGATGCAATGGTGGTGGCACAAGTGGCCGTGGAGGAGAGGCAAGCGGTAGTGCTAGTGCAAGTGTTGCAAGTTCTAAGAAGAAATGCAAGCGCACCTCAACAGTTTGGGAGCACTTCAACACATTCGAGGACGTTGACAATAACGGTAACATTAAATACGTAGCTCAATGTAAATATTGTGGTGAGAAATTACAAGGTAACACTATTCACGGCACTACACAC